GGAACTGAGGCAAATAGGGTTGCGACTTGTCCCAGGTCACACAGCTAGTCAGTGTCTGAGGCTGGATTTGAACTCAGGTCTTCTGGCCCTAGGCTCAGCGCTCTATCCACTGCACCACCTCGATGCCTTAATAGAGGGTTACTGCCTTGCCATGTTGTTGGCTTGACTGATCCTTCCAACTGCTGGTCCTCCCTAACTACCTGGTGTTCCTCCTGTGCATACTCACACATGTACTTGTTGCATCCCCCATTAGAACGTAAAGTCCCTGAACACTGAATTATTTCACTGTTTGTGTCTGTATCCCCAGTGCCCAGGACAGAAGACCCTTTGCTCCTCATTTCCTACGTGGGGCAGCCTGCTCACATCTACCATGCACCTATCCACTGCTGAGCAATACCAACTCTTACCTCAGTCATACACCAGCACCAGGAAAATATTTGTGTTGGTTTTGTTTTAAATAAATGTCTTTGCTGCTGGGGAAATTTGGGGTCACTAAAGTTCCCTTTAGTATTTTCCTGAAGGCAATACAGCCAGGCCTTTTATTTAATCCTGGGAACAATTTCCTATTTACATTTTCTGTTGAAAATATATACATTGGGGCAGCTAGGTGGCGCAGTGGACAGAGCACCGGCCCTGAAGTCAGGAGGACCTGAGTTCAAACGCGGCCTCAGACCAAACACTTGACACTTACTAGCTGTGTGACCCTGGGCAAGTCACTTAACCCCAACTGCCTAAAAAACAGAAAGAAAAGAAAATATACATACTGATGAATAATAGTAATAATAATAATGATAATGATAGTATTTATATAATGCTTTAAGATTTGCAAAGCACTTTACATGTTATTTCACCTGATCCTCACAATAACCTTGTGTGGAAGGTGCTAATATTATCTCCAAGGTTGCACAGCTAGTGTCTGAAGCAAGATTCGAACTCAGGTCTTCCTAACCCCAAGCACAATAGACAATAAGTTGGCAAGCTCTAAAAACTGTCCATCTTTCTGCATGTCATAATCTGGGCAAGAGACATTCTTCATCTACTTGTTTTTTGTGTGTGTAGGTCATTAAGCCAAACTCTTAAATCTACTGCAGGAGGTTTTAAAGGTTGCTGAGACTGTGCAACCGGCAGAATGTTATCTGCATGTTATCTGGAGCATCCAGAAGCCTTCACCATAACTAAGTGACCTCTTCAACTTATATTTCCTCCATGCACAGCAGCCAACATCCCTGGTGAGCATTTATCTCCCTCTTTTATTACTCACCTGATATTAATGAACAGTGTCACCAAAGGTTATCCCTGTTGTATAGTTCAAAGAATCTTTAAGTTTGATGTACAGATGGGATGGACCTTGTTGGATGGCGGCATTTTGGTCCATCAAATCAAATGCTTTTTTACAGTCAACACACCCCAAGCAGTGGAACGTGTACAATCCACATCTTTCAGTCCATCCTAAGATGATGAAGATGTGGTCTACTGGGGAATATCACTGGCAAAAGCCAGCCTTCTAATACCCTCATCAAGGATGCCCAAAACAGATATGTAAATCACTCTTCTAAAAGGTTATATAGATGGGAAAGAAGGCACACGGATCAGCAGTTATTAAAGTTGTCTCAGTTACCTTTTTTTGGTAGTAATTAAAGCCCAAGATTTTTTTCCATATCTTTGTGATAATTTAGATAATTCTGAAAATCAACAAATCCCTCAACACCCTCAGAACCTTATCACCATCAGCACAGTCCTATGGCACTGAACTATACAATGATGAAAATAAACAAGGATTAGGAAGCATCTACATTTAGCATGGTACAGTGAAAAGTCAGCCAAAAAGCACTCAAGTATCTACTCCAGGCTAGGCACCATGCAAAGCACTGGGGAGACAAAGAAATGCAAAAACATGCCCTCGAGACACTAGTGATAATGAGGAAAATGATGGTGACAACAGCCAGCATTTACACAACATGACCATGCAGCTGTCCGCTGCTCTGAATAATACTAACACGCCAGCACCAGTAGAATATTCATGTTTTGGTTTTTTTTTTAATAAACATGTCTTCGTTGCCGGGAGAAATTTAGGGTCATTAATGTTCCCTTAGTATTTTCCTGAAAACAATATAGCCAAGCCTCTTGTTTCTTTCTGGGAACAATTTCCTGTTTACATTTTCTATCAAAATACATATACTGCTGAACAATAATAATAGTAGCATTTATATAATGTTTTAAGGTTTGTAATCCTCAGGGGCAGGTAGGTGGTGCAGTGGATAGAGCACCGGCCCTGAAGTCAGGAGGACCTGAGTTCAAATCCGGCCTCAGACCAAATACTTGTCACACAGCTAGTAAGTGTCTTTGGGCAAGTCACTTAACCCCAATTGCTTTTAAAAAAAAAAAAGGTTTGTAATACATCCTGGAGGGTAGGTGTTATTATTATACCCATTTTGCAGATGAGGGAATTGAGGCTGGGAGATTAAGCGATTTGCTCCATGATACACAGCTATACTGGATTTGGAGTTCAAAGTATCTGAGGCTGGATATGAACTCAGGTGCTTCTGATTTAGAATCCAGCACACATACAACAATCCACCTAACTGCACCAGTCAGAATACTAGGGTTCAAATCTCAACTCTATTTCTTATTAGCCACGTCACCATGGCCAAGTCACAGAGCCTCCATTTCCTCATGTATAAAGTGGGAATGATAATATTACCCTATCTACCTTAAAAGGCTATTGTGGGGAAAGTATTTTATAAGCTGAAAATCACCATATAAACTATGATTACCTCCATTCTACACGGGTAATATTAGCACTAATCTTCATGGCATACAATACTACGCACCTACTTATCTCTGACACTGATGTATAGCTATCTGCCTAGAGCTAAGAGTACAACCTTAGCTAATGGGTCTTCAAGGGCTTAAAGAAAAAATGAGATCTCTGCTTCATTCATGGAAACATTTATTGCCTGCTCCGAGGTTGTCAGGTGCTTTCCTTCTCTAATGTAAGATCTCTTCCTCAAGAATTTAAATAGAATTTTTCTGAGTTCACATGTATGTGTACAATCTCTTCAATGTAGCTGTAATATTATTATTATTTGTACTAGTATTAGCCAATAAGTTTTCCTATAACCTCCATTTGAAAAACCAATTTCTCATGAAAAAATACTAATAGTTTTTCAAACTTTTCAACACTAACTTCATTTCTTAATTTGATCAAATCAGGCTTGATCTTATAGTGATAAAAAATAATCCTCTGGAAATGCCTCCTGTGATAGCTTTTTACAGTACCAGCTGCTTTCTATTCACTGGTATCTGGGAAGAGTTTCCTGATCTCTCATTACTGAGTAGCATCTAAACCATTTTTTCAAAAACAGACCAAAAAAGATTTGTTAGGAAAAGCAATAGGGTGTGAAAATAATCCTCTAATATCTAGAATTCTAAATAAAAATTTTGCTAAGCAGGTAGTAGGGCAGTATACATGAATGTAAGGAAAAAGAAATATTTTACCTCCTAGGAAAGTCTCAATTCCCTAGCACTAATTAGCAAGGTCACCAGCAGACCAGGGAGTTGACCTTCCATGTTGCCCCTCTCCAGCCAAAACTGACCATGTAAGAAGGGATCCCCTCTCCTCTCCTTTCCAATTTTTCCATGAAACTTCTGGTCTATCTTACCTTCTAGGATCCCACGGTCCAGAGCGGAAAGGAACCTTAAAGCTGCTGCTTATAATAACTGACAGTTACATAGTACTTTAAAGTTTGCAAAATACTTTGCATACCTTATTACAATGGAGATTACAATGAAGTAACACTGTAGATATCATCCTCATTTTACAGATGTGGAAAATGAGGCTCAGAGAGGTTACATAACTTGCCACAATCACACAGCTTACGTTTCAAAGGCAGAATCTGAACCTGGTTTTTCTGATGCCAAATCCAGCACCATCTCTCTATCTAGTCTAATCCCTTCATTTTACAAATGAGGGAAGTGACGCCCAGGAAGGCTGTGACTGGCTCAAGATCACACAGTCATAAATGCCAGAGCCTCAAGGTCTCTGGACTCCCAATCTAAGCCCTTTCCTCCTCTCTCCGACAAGCTTGTACTTACTATGTGCCAGGTAGTGGGCTGAGCAGGGGAGATGACACAGATTCAAAAGGAAAGCAGTCCTGGCACACGAGGTGCTTATATTCCAGTACTAGATCACACTGGGGAGTGATGACAAGGGAGGGAGACAGAGGGGAAGGAGAAGCATGTGTTCCGGGCCAGGGTGAAGAAGCACGTCTGGGACTAGTCCAGTTAGCAGGACACAACAACATGCCAAGGATTTCTTCATATTCCACATATGAAATGGGTAGAAATAGGGACCTGATTTTGGATTACAGTATGAGCTTCTCCCTGTTTCTCCTCTAAAACAACATCGCCTATTTTCCAGATCCAAGTGTCTAAGGCTATTTCAAATCTTGGGGGTCTAGGTATTTTAGGTGAAACCTGTCTAACTTTGGAAATCAACCCAGACATGGGGTGCACCACATTCTAAGGATTCACTTGGTCACTCCAGGATCGGATCCATTCCACCTTCCAAATTTATTACACTACTGACTTCAGAACACGAAGGTCGGATGGCTCTCATTTTATAAGTAAGCTGGCTATTGGTTCCATCATGTTGGGTTTGAGTATATCTTAGAAAGCAGCATCACAGATATGTAATTGTGACTGCCTAGCTCTCAGACCTGGAGAATGCACATAAAATTTTCATTCAATTACACCATCCGTTCATTAACAGCCTAGACATTTACAAGGGAAATAACATTTCTCCTAGTCCACAAATTTTTAAGCACCTCCCAACAGCCATTAAGCATCATCTATTTATTATTCTTCTACCAATATACATACATGCTTCTTTTACCCTTCTGTCAAGGCTCTGAAACCTCATTCATTAGATATAACCACTTTTTTAATCCTATTCTTCCCATTGGCAACACTGCAGAAGGAATTTTTTGTTTGTTTCTTACCTGATGGTGCTGTTTTAATCCAAAATTAAATCGGATAATTTCATTGGAAAGTGAGCAGTCTCCACTGAGATTAGCCGCTCGAACCTGCCACAAAGATAGAAGATAATTAAAAGGGAAGGCAATGCTCATGCTGCCTATCTTATATCTTTAATATACCATCTGTTTAAAAAAAAATTAGTTGGGGAACTGTACAAAATCATTCCGTTTTTTCCAAGAGAAAATACAGGGTTTCTCAAAAGTCTTAGTTGTAAGATATTGAAGATTGACTCTGCAGTAAGACTTTGGGGACATTATATATGTAAGACATTAAAGATAAAGCACATGTGCATAATAGGGAAGTTCTTGCGAAAAATATCAGGCACTGTACCCCCGGTCAAATGTGATCTCTGTGATAGTTTATTTTACTTAGCTTTTCCTTTTGGTTACAGTGGAAGGTTCTGGTACAGCGGGGAAGGAGAAAAGGGGGAGTGGTTACAAAAGACAAAAACACCAGCTTTGACGGCTCCTCCAGCAGAGGCCACAGACACTTCCACCAGAGACTTCAGACATCCTGAGAGGCAAGGGAATCTTGAAGTCAACTGGTCAGCGTGTGAGGACAAAGCACAGTGACCACGCATGGCTGGTCACTGCAGTGAGGAGGGTGAAGCAATACAGCACATGCCACACGTAAGCTGGAGCTACAAGCACCAACTCATCTTGGATTACAGTGTAGGTTTTTCCCTACTTCTCCTATGAAACAGGGCTGCCTGTGAAGAAGCTATGAGTTTAACTGTCATTCTGGTTGTTACTGTTGAGTCCTTTAAGTCCCATCCGACTCTTCGTGACTGTATTTGGGATTTTCTTGGCAAAGATACTGGAGTGGTTTGCCATTTCCTTCTCCAGCTCATTTTACAGATAAGGAAACTGAGGCAAGTGAGGTTAAATGACTTGCCCAGGGTCACACAGCTAGTAAGTGTCTGAGGCTGGATTTGAACTCAGGAAGATGAGTCTTCCTGACTCTAGGCCCAGCGCTGTATTCACTGTGCCATCAAGCTACCCCATCCTGGGGAGGCTGCACAAAGAAGCCTCAGAAGACCTGCTTCCTGAAAGAACTGGATTTAGCCCTTATCTTGAAAAAAGCTTAAAGAGAATTCTTAAGGAGAGACATTAACTGATATCCAGAAAGAATTTAACATGGGACTGTGTTTCCAGAATTGAGGAGAAGTCGGCGAGTAAAGTGATGGATATAAGTGACTTTGCTGTGATCTTTCCCACAGCTGATCTATTACAATTATTTATGTCTTTGTTTAACTGTTGTAGTATACTACTAATAAATAGTACAGCTCATGTATTTAGGCCTAAGATATTAAAGGGTTTGATACATAAAGAGAGATGAGCAAGTGGTTATGGGGGAAGTAGTTTCTCCACTTTATACAATAAAAATATTTCATATTTAATCAACCTGGTCAGGGGCTCAGAGCTAACCTTAATGAGAAAGATGTAATTTTTTGTAATTAATGTGGAAATACCAGAAAATACACTTCAATTTAAAACCTAGGATAAGAATAAGCTATTACTATACATGAGTTTGGTTGACTCAAAAAACCGTTACAAACCTTTTTTACTATTAAAGAAACAAAATGAGCAAAAAAGAAAAAAAGAAAAAACTCTGTAGCCACAGGCTGGGTCTCACTGCTGCCACATCCAGATGGAGTGGAAAATCCACTCCACCATGACTTCTATCAGAAGGCAGGTGGTAAGCCAGGCCCGCCCAACATACAGCCCGTGGGCTACTTACAGCCCACCAGAGGCTTTCAGGTGGCCCATAGTTGCCATTGGGCACTCTCCTATCTGTCACGTGACCCACTGCAACCAACCATCACCAGTCTGTCTCTAGTCTAAGCTAACTGCAGCCTAAAGAAGTTTAGCCTATTTTAATTTTGGCCCCTACCTACTGCCACATCGTGCAGGTCCATGGTAGACTAACGTGTGTATCGAGGGCAATACTGTCGATTTGTTTTGCTTACCTATATCTATTTGTTACAAAGAAAAAAATATTGGGAAATGACAATGATGTTTAAAATAAAACCACTATGATCTTTTTAAAAATCCGTCAATCATGCAGTCACCTTGTCCATCATGCTATTTTAAAAATTTTCTTTTTGTCTTTCAGGAAGAAGTTTTGGGTCAATAAAATCTTCTTCTTGCCAATTCTGGGCCAGATCACTTTCCATGCAGGTGTATGTCCAAGTCATATGTATTGATAGATAGGCTCTATTATTTGAATTTCACGTAATAATGAAGTACGACAGTAGGCATGCTTCATTCACTTGTTTTTATTTAGCTAGTTAGTTAGTTTTATTTGTTTGTTTAGTTTTATTTATTTAGATTTGTTTTTTTTATTTACACATATCGTTTGTATAGGAGTAATCTGTAGTCCACACTCTTCTGAGTGATTATGGTTCTCATTTGAGAACCAGGGATTAATGCAGTCTGAAGTGTCGCCACGCATTTTTTTTTAGGAACATCAGGAGAACCCCCTCTTTGATCTGCATTACGTGTCCTCCCTGATGGTGGCAAACACCTTGAGGAAGGATACTTTTCCTTGTTTTATGTTACATAAAACACTTGATATCAAACAAAATTCTCTCCATCTATCAGAAAGTGCTATTTCTGGGGCAGCTAGGTGGCACAGTGGATAGAGCACCGGCCCTGAAGTCAGAAGGACCTGAGTCCAAATCCAGCCTCAGATCAAACATTTGACACTTAGTAGCTGTGTGACCCTGGGCAAGTCACTTAAGCCCAATTGCCTTAAAAAAAATTTTTTTTTAAAAAGTGCTGTTTCTAAATTTCACACTGCAGTTTTATTGCTATAGCCAATTATCTGCTAAAGCCAGAAGTGAGGCCTCAGATTGCTGAAATGTAAACCCAGACCCTCCTAGAAACTACCAAGAAAGTATTTTGGGGATCTTTAAGTGATCACTGTGGTTCATACATCAACGTCTAAAATGTCGGAGGTTGCACCTCAATGTAAACCACACCTTTAGGTCAAATATCTCCAGATAACCAAGAAAAGCCCTGGCCTTTGTTATTTTTTTTAAAAGCACCCAGTTCATGTGTCACAAATCTTTTCTTTTTAACAGAAATCTATTTTTTCTCCTACCTCCCAACTCCACTGGGGGGAGGACCAAAATCTTTGTAACAAACACACATAGTCAAGCAAAACAAATTCCCTCATTGGCAGTGTTCAAAAAATCTATTTCTCATTCGGCACCCTGAATTCCTCACCTCTTGGTCTGGAAGTAGGGAGCATACTTCATTATTGGTCCTGGAATCATGGCTGGTCAATGCACTGATCAGAGTTCTTACAGTTTTCAAATGTATTTGTTTTTACGGTGTTGCTATTACTGTATAAATACAAACATAAAGTGGTATCTCAAATCCCTATGGAAGACATGACATTCCTCTTCCACACTCCCATCTCAGAACCACTGCCCCAAGCTAAACTTCATAGAACAAATCAGTTCTTCCAACATAAGGAATCAAGCACACTCCCCAAATGATTCTACTAAGTATGTGCCTGGCTGGACAGTTCAGGCACATCTGTCCCGTGTTTGTCTTTGCAGGTATGTAGAGTAACCCCCAAATAATTCCAACAAATATATGAAAAAGTTTTAAATTATTCACATACCACTAGACCTCCTGACATCGGCTCAGCACAAGCAGAATGGCCTACTCCTTGTTATTTCTAAAGCAACACAGCCTCATTACTCGGAGGAGTTCAAAGCATTTAACATATTTTAACTTGCTAAGCAGGCATTAACTCTCACAACACCCAAGGGAGGGAAATATTTAACAAGTTTTCACCAAGGTTTCAGTCTCCTCTCCAAATAACACGGCTTGAAATTAAGTGTATCTGAGGCTGCATATTAATTTTAACTGAAATATAGAAAGCAGGATCCGTGGGCATACGTACATTTGTGAGATCCTGAAATCACTTTAACATTAATTAAGACTAGCGTGCTCATTTAATTGTACCCTGGAGGTGCACATGTAAAGTATACATGTGTCTATAACAAGACTCACCTACATAAGCTCCACACCATGATGGATAACACTGAGTTTAAGAGGCAATCAGGGCGGAGAATAGGACACTAAGCAGACAAACTCAGGAGTTAACACTCATGTAACTGGTTCAGATCATTACCAGTCATCCCAAAATGTGTCTGATCAGTCCAAAAATGTTGTTACAGCAAGTTTTCATACCAACACCAAGGGGTTGGTTACGAATAATGTACTAATGAAATTTTTGTGACTGTGTGGTCAGAACAATGTTATTCAGGTTATCTATTCCTGTGTGTGAATATGTGCATGCATTTAGCTACAAATCAAAGTGCTTAATAAATGCTATTTTTATTGATTCTGTTTGAGACACAAATAAAGATGATTAAATGTTTATTTCTGGAATAACCAGAATGCCCTGTTTTCCCCAAATAATGAACCAATAATTTGCTGCACCAAGATTTAATTATTGTCACTATCTGAATCACTGGTTATGCTTGAAACAGTGTTAAAAGCTACTTGGAGGTATGTGCTGAAATTCAAAATCTGTTTATATGATATTTATAACAATTAGCTCAAAGATCAAAAGAGATGGGGGGGAGAGAGAACAGACGTTTGTTAATCGAAAATAAAATTAATGACAGAAAATTAGTGATCTACATTATACCCGAATAATACATCTGAGTATTATGAAAGGTCTCATACTTAAGAAAATTAAAGTCAGGAATCAGATTGACCAAACAGAAAGAGGTATGCCTTACCTCCGAACAGGCTAAGTGTTTGACATTAGTAAACCAGTCGACGTGAGCACGACAATGATCAAATGCATGGATTAGTTCATGAGTGACCACTCGGTTCATGTGAGCTTGATTATGGATATTATTCTGACACAACACTACCTATGGAATACAAGATAAAAAGAACAAGAAGTTAATTTTTGTTTCATCTGATCTGCTTGTACTATTTTTCTTTCCCAGATTCCAATTCCCTCCATACCTGCAGCACACAGAACATGCCTTCAGAGGTATGGCTGTATCAACTTTCTAAATCACATGGATGAAGTCACACATCGCTTTCCAACTGCTCACAAATTAACTTGGACATAAAAACAAATTCAACTTGTCTTGCAAAGAAAGTAGCCAGATTTCCTCACCCACAAAGTATACTTTGCTTTAAAGAAACCCAATCACCCCCCACCCCCCACCCCTGTCATAAATGCCCATTCCCTAGATTAGATTCAAGCTGCTTCCCACTACCACCTAACACACACCAACTACCCACATTTTTTTAAAAAAGTGAAAAAATCCCAAAATCACACACAAAAAAATTTAATGTGATTTATGTTAAATGTATTTTATCAAAAAAATACAAGCAAGAATTTTAAAGTAATTATGCATATGAGCAGTTCTGTTATTCTGCACATTATGCACATTCACAGTTCTGTTATTTTGTTGCTTTTATTTAAAGGCTGCTGTCCATTTCTCAAAACCAATTCTGAGTCTTGCCTCTTCCACAGTGGTCCCCAACATGGTTTCAGTCCACTTTGGGCTCTGCCTTTTCCTTTCTCTGAAAACCTAGAACCTGAACCACCTGATTTGGCATTCGATTCCACACTTTACTGTCTAAGAGGAGTCTCAATTGCTTTGTGCAGGCTCACCTTGTCTCCTCTAATACAGCAAACACTGATTAAGTGCCTACTGTATGCAGAGCACTCAAAAACAAGGACATGCTTGTCTCACGTTTTTTTTTCCTCCTCCCCAGCATTAAGCACAGTGTTAGGGCTATGTACAGCAATGTAATCAATAAATTCCTGAACAACTGGTTAATTTTAAGGTTCTTTTTCATCCACTTTCCAGCCTGCCTATTTCAAGTAAGGGACAGAAAGTCCACGATAGTTCAAAGAGTTAAGGAGAAGGTGATGACTCTAACAGATGAGTTCCTGATGCCAAGGTCATCACTAGAACCCTCCTGGGGCTTCAGGGACTTAGAAGGTAGGAATAATACTGAAACAACTGTGCTCCCACCACGGTCTAGAGCACAGGGCAGCAGGTGGAGTTGCCTAGTGATGAAGGTGTACAGTTACCTACAAAGTAAAGTAAAATCAAATGCCCTGTTAAAAACAGTCCCTTCTACATCACTAGAGAATAGGAGATGCTATAATTTGGAAATGCCAAAAGGGACAACATTCCTTCTTTTGAACTTCACAATACCCACTTACACCATCATCTTCCAGTCCTATCTCTACTGTCTACTCATGTCTTAAAACACTTTCATAAAAATAAAGAAAATTAAAAATTAAAAAAGGAAAAGAAAAAACTTTTACAGTGTCCTAAGGGGCTTCAGCACATGACTCAGTTTCCCTCTCTACCTCACTGCCCACAATCATCTGCAGCTACTTCAGCACCACGTTGCCAAGCCTCCTAATGACCTCAGCTCTAAGCATTTTCTCTGTCCTCCCCCCACACACATGGAATGCTCCCCCTCCACCACTCTGATTACTGACCTCCTGGGCTTTCTTTCCATCCCAATTTAAACCCCACCTTCTACAGGAAGCCTTCCCTAACCCCTCTTACTTCCAGTGCCTTCCCTCCTTTGATCATTTCCTATTCATCCTGTAGACAGCCTGCTTTCTATGTGTTTGTCTGCGTGTTATCTCCCCCAAGCTCCTGAAGGCAGAGACTGTCTCTGGCCTCTTTTGAACCTCTAGTACTTAGCACAGTGCCTGGCAAATAAGTCCTTAATAAAGGTTTACTGATCGATTTTATTTCCTAAGCCACCCACGAAAGTGATCACATCCATTCATATATTCATTCGGTGAGCACTTATTAAACCCTACTGTATGACAGGCACTAGGACAAGTGCTGGGGATACAACACAAAGAATGAAAAAATCCCCACCTTCAGCTTACATTCTAACAGCAGAGCCAAGAAGTACATACATAAGGATGTGCAGAATGAAAAGAGAAGGACAAAGAAGTACAAGGCAGTTAGGGAGGAGGGCACTAACAGCTTAGGGGATCAGGAAAGGCACTGGAGAAAGAGGTGCCTGAACTGCATCCTGGAGGAGAAGGGCTCTAGGCTGCAGAGGGAAGGCGGGACTACATTCCAGGCATGGGGGATGGCCAGGACAAAAGGGACAGGGAAAGGGACACGTCTCAGGTACTTCCAGAGTCCTCCTGAAGTTCCCCTCTGTTCTAGCTCTCAGCTGAGCTCCAAGGACCAAGACCTTTCTAGAGTTCACAAACAGCATCTCTCCCCCATCGCCAAGGGGTCACCTGACCACCCCAGAAGGTGCCGCCGTCCTCCTGGGCTGGCTTTCCACCCCCATCTCACACACTTCTCTTCTACCACCAGCCACTGTGGCCACCTCCAGGGAGTCTGCCATTGACACACCTTCCCTAACTACCACTGTACTACAGCATGCTTCAGAGCCATTCCGCCTCCAAGATGTCCCTTCTCTGAACACAACACCTTCACCTCCCACTTCTCCCACTCTTTCACTCATACTCGGGCTTCCCCTTCATCACGACCTCCACTCCCTCAACCCTCCCCACTCTCCCATGCCATTCTCCCCTGCTGCCTTCACTCACTTTCCCAGCCACTCACCAGCACTAGAATCCTTTGTCCTGTGACTTTCTGCCATCTTCACCTGGCAAATCCCCACCTCCAAATAACCAAGCTCCTTCTCACTATCTTCTCTGTTCCTGCTGCCAGGCTACCAGCATTGCTGGAAAAAGTCACAAACAACTCTCACTGCATCCACTACAAACAGATGCTGCCATCAGCTGAAGCCTCCCAGTGGCTCAGCTAACCCCTCCTATTTACTACCCTACTCCCCTTGGTGGCTATTCTAAACCTGTGTGTATGGCCCTCAAGTTCCCAACTCCATACTCACCCTCCCCAATCACAGTCTCATCTCCTACTTTTCTGAGAAAAGGACTGAGGTCATTTGAGCTGAACACCTCCAATTTCCCTCCACTCCACCTCAAAATTTCTATCCTCACTAACCTCTTCCATCTTTGCTCCAGTCTTAGAGGAAAGTGTCCTTCCCAAATCTAACCTCTAGACCCTCCAAAACCTTGTTCCACCAATCAGTCCTTCATAGTTGCATCTATGATCGCTCCCCATCCACCAGCTGCTTCCCCACCATTTACAAATGCATCCTTGTCTCCCCTATCTTCAAGAAACCTTCCCCTCGACTCTGCTCCCTTCTTCCCGCATCTTTTTACCACCAAACTTTGAGAAAGCTTAGTTCTATTACCTCTACTAAAATCATTACCTCCTTATCCATTATGCTGAAACTAGTATCTTCAGGCGCAATGGAAACACAGCCTCTAGGAAGCCCCCCAAGCTAGAAGTGCCAAACTATTTTTTACTGCTGACTTTGAATCGCCAGGTCTAAAGGCCTTTATATAGTTCTCACGCTCTCTAACCTCACTATAACATCTAATGATAACAAATCTTCAAATAGGAACACTTTACGGATTATAAAATATTTAAATAGCTGACACTGGTGCTTTCTTTATACTCTCTCCTCCTCAACTTCTATGCCAACACTGCCCTCAGCTGACTCTACTCCTTTCCTTTCTAATCACTCTTCCTCTGCTCCCTATAGAAGTTGCCCTTCCTCCTCCCACCCCTAAATGCAGGTGTTCCCCCCAAGATTTTGACTTTCCTCTCTTCTCTTTCTACCCTCTATTCATTTCTCTCATTCATTTCCAGAACTTCAACAATCATCCTGTGGATTACTCCCCGACTCTCCCCACCAAATTTGATCTCCAGATCTCACCTGTCCATCTTAGAAACACAGAATCTCAGCAATGTAAGCAAAGTCAGACATCATCTAATTTACTCCATATCTTAACCAGAATTCCCCCCCAACAAGCAATCATACAGCATCTATCTGATGAGATCTAGTGATAGGGAACTGGTTCCCTCCTGAGATAGCTCATTCTATTCTGAGACAACTCTAACTGTTAAAATTTTTCCCTTATGTTGAGTCAAAATCTACCCCTCTACATCTTCCACTCCTCTGAAACTGCAACCCATTTCCAAGTTCCAGTCCCGCATTTCTCACTTTGCCCCATTATACAGAGGAAGGTCCTGAGGCAGAGAGAAATTAAATGACTCACCTAGGGTCACAAAGCTACTAACAGTCTAAGACTAGATTTGAACTCAGATCTCCTGACTGTAGGCCCAGGACTCTATCCACTGCACCACCAAGCTGCCTTACCACAGATATTACTCCCATTTTACGACAAGGTAACTGAGTGATCTTTCCAAGCTAATGTAGCTCAGAATTCTCAGAGGCAGATGTGAATCACAGTTTTTCCTGACTCCAAGTTCAATTCTCCACAGCACCTCACTTCTATCCCCACCAGAGGAATAAGATACAATCGAAATAAGGAGACCTGACTTCTAGTCCTGATTCTGCCAGTAACCTTCTGTGCAACCTTGGGTTAAACAAATCACTAACCTCTCTGGGCCTTAATTTCCTCATCTGAAAAACAAGGTGCAGGACTACATGATCTGGAAGGTCCCTTTCAGCTCCAACAATCAATGACTCATTGTCACCATGCTAGTGCAGGCCCACATTTCTTCTGGCCTGGCCTAGCTCAATAACCTCTTATGGAAGCCTGGTGGTCTGGTGGAGGCCTGACTCAGAGTTAGGAAGACCTGAGTTCAAATCCTTATCATCCTTATGACCCTAAGTCACTTATGCTTTTTGACCTTCTGCTTCTTTTTTCATTTTGTTTTGTTTTTATTTTTTGGCGAGGCAATGGGGTAAAGTGACTTGCCCAAGGTCACACAGCTAGTAAGTGTTAAGTGTCTGAGGCCGGATTTGAACTGAGGTCTTCCTGAATCCAGGCCCTGTGTTCTATCCCCTGCGTGCACCTAGCCACCCCTGACCTTCTGTTTCTTCATCTGTAAAGTGGGAATAATAATAGTATGTACCTCTCAGGGTCGATATGAAGATCAAATCAGATAATATGTGAATGTGAGCTGCTATTACTGATTTTCCTATCTCCAGGCTCTTCCCCCTCCAATTTATCTGTCCTAAAGAATACCACAAATCATTTCACTTGCCACCTCAAAAATCTTCAACAATTCCCATCATCTGCTAAAAAGTCATTCACTCAAAGCCAGTCAACAAACATCTAAATAACATGATGAAAGAACTGTGCTCCTTAGCCCAACATTCCAAGCAATCTAAGATCTAGTCCTACCCCCTTCAAACCTTATTTCTTACAACCTCCTTATATGGTGGTCAAATTGGACATTCACTACACCCCCAACACCCCATGCTTTTCTACCTCCATACATTAATTCACATGATTCCCTCTGCTTGAGGTTCTGCACCTCCAACTTCATCTCTTAAAATCCTACACATACTATAAGGCCCAATGGAAACACAGTCTCCTCCAGGAAGCCCCCAAGCTAGAAGTGCCAAATCTTTCCTCTAACCTGCCTCAGCACTGTGCATCTTTGTTGGGGCACGTATCACTATACTCTATGCTGTATTGATGTATCTACACCTAGTCTCCTGTAAGATACTCAAAAACTGTGATAGGTCTTGTTCACCTTTATATGACCCACAGTCTCACACACATACACACACACACACACACAGAGTAGGTGTTCATTAAGAGTTTTCTGACTGAAAACAATCCAACATTTAACTCCTACCTGGGACGTGGCAGCATCAAAACCTCCGCTGACATTGCCATTACAATCTTCACAAGAAAAGTGTCTCTCTCTGTAAACAGTGCTAAAAGGAAAGAGCATATGTATTAAAGGAAAGACTACCTAGAAATAATATATGTGTGCGTGTGTGTGTGTCTGTGTGTGTGTGTGTGTGTGTGTACAATCTGGCCCTGTGATTAAAGCTGAAATGGGAAGAGGCACTAGACAGAGTGGAAGTAATGGATTCAGGGGTGTGATTCTGAGGTTTATCTCACTAGCCACCACTAGATGGCCCCATAACAAAGCCAGCTAAAGATCTAGTTTGGAGATTCTTATGTTTTCTGTGGTATGGATGCCCTTGGCAGGGTGGTGAGGCCTAAAGACCCCTTCTCCGACTAAGGATTTCAATGTATAAAATAAAATACACAGGATTACAAAGGAAGCCAATTATACTGAAATTCAGTTATAAAAATATTTGGGGAAAAAAAAAAAGTTCACAGACCCCCTGATCTTTGTTGAAATTTTTCCCCCCTAAGGCCAAGGCCAGCAGGGAGGCTATAGCTCAAAATCATCAAGAAGGACATTGTGAATATTTTCTTTGTTAGATATGATGGGTAGGCAGGTCAGGAGTTTATAAATAAAGCAGGAGAAGATAGGCAGAGAGCCAGTATGCAGAGAGGCCTTTTCCAACTCTGATTCTGTGGCTGTACACAGATCACACCTGTCTGTCACGTTTAAAGGGCATACAGTGGTATGAACAGGCATTTACACGGCATACAGTGAGAAATCTTAAGTGATCTTCTGTTTTTTGGAGCCAGGTTTAAAACTGCACTTGGAAAAGATCTGCTTACCAACCAGAACGCCTCATAGCATCCAACAGAAGTCTGACATATGGACCTAGAATGATATGGAGCCAATTACACTAGGTTAAAAAATGCAACAAGCAGAATTATCAAAAAACAGTACATGATGTCATCAAAAACATAATTACTAACTTCACAGACTGTATAGAATTTCAGACTGGGATGGGACGTCAGCAGCTGTCTAGTCCCAACTACAGATATGAATGCCCTGGATAGAATAATGACCAAACGGTCACTTAATTTGGTCAGCAGCCCTCCGATAAATGGGAATCCACCCCCTCCCCACTGCACTGTTGGATCACTCTAACTGTTTGGAAATTTCTCCTTACCTCAAGTCTATATTTGCCTCTTAGCTACTTCCACCCACTTCAGCCTAGTTCTGCCCTGGGGGGCCATCAGGACAGAGCTGATGCTGCTTCTTCGGCATGACAGCCCACCTACTATTCAAATACAGCTCTCATGTGCCCCTAGCATGTACAGTGCTGCCTTAGAATAAGTGAGGAATAAAAATTTGAGAATACCAACTCATCAACACAAATGCTTATTTAGGTAAAACACTGATACCAATACCAAACTCATCTCCAGCAATAATCCTGAGCAGAACCAGGTGTACTTTTACATTGGTTTGAAGTCAAAAGCATCAAAGGTCTTAAGACTTTACTGTGCATGACATGACTCACGTGGCTGGCAAGAAAAGGCCAAGCATGTGATGTGGCTGTTAAAAAGCTAATGCCTGCAGGAATACAAGTTCATCAAAATAGAGCTCAGGATGCAAATCAAGGGTAGGAATAGTCCCACTGTGCCCTACAATGGTCAGACCACATGAGCAATTTTGTGTCCAGTCTGGGGCAGCACAGTGACAAACTAGAGAGTATGTAAAGCCAAGAGGTGAGGGGCTTGGGACCCACTTTCTGTGAAGAACAGATGAGGGAAGGGCAGATTTCAAACTTTCTAAAGAAAACTGAGAAGGTACAGAACTGTTGTCTTGTGATGACTGTTTCATTCATGTCAATGTCAAATAATTTATGAGTTGTCATGCAGAAGAGGAAATGGATGATCTAAATGCTCCAAGGGGTTAAACCAAGAGTCGGAGCTATCTCACACCATTCCTGCAGAAAAAGACAAGAGAGATGTGGACTAGGCCATTTGTCTCCCAAAGTGGGGATGTGATCCCCAAGCTGTATGTGATCACCCAACGGAAAGGTGAAAAGATGGGTTGTATACCACCCTCCTCCCCATGACCAATCATGGACTCATCTGCACACAATTATTCCCCTCCCTCCCATTTAGGGCCCTCAGATCCTTACACTCAAAGCAGCCACACACACAATTCTCCGAGCCCCCCAGGCCTCAGGTTGCAGCATGCTCATGCCCTGAACCTTCTTGTCTTTCACCTCATGAGTGCATCAGGTACCCTTCAGTAGTGGGCTCTGCTCCAGGGCATTGGCCAGTGAGTAATGCCCTCAAATATACTATTCCCGAGCAGGCACAGACGGGTTATCATTGGATGATCTTTCCTCCCAAATATATTCCTCTTCCGAACTTCCCTATTTCTATTAAAGGTCCCAACATCCTTCCAGCCTCCCAGGTTCACGACCTGTGTTATGCTTGACTCCTCACTCCCCCAAACTCCACATATCCAAGTACCTGCTCACTCTGCTCATACCTACCTCCACAGCATCTCTCGTTTTCTCCTCTCCACTCACACATCCCCTCCCCTAATTGAAGCCGTCACCACCTTTAGCCTCCTAATTGATCTCACTGCCTTCTCAACTCTCCTCCCCCTCCCACACGTCCACCACGCAGCTGCTAAAGTAACTTTCCTAATGCACAGGACTGACTGTCACTCCCCTACTCAATAAACTCCAGCAGCTCCCAATGGTTCTAAGATCACATGTTATTTCATTGTGATCTTATCCTTTTTCAAATTCCATTTTTGTGAAGTCTTACCATGTATGTTATTAGTAGTTTGGTAGCAAGTTTTTACAATTTACGAATGAGTAGGTATACATATATTGAAGGTACAGATCCAAAAAATTTTTAGTGAGCGATCAAAAGTCTGAAGACCATTGGACTATACCAGGGGTGGGGAAGCTTTGGGCTCAAGGCCACAGGTGGCTGTTACGTCTATGGGTTCAGCCTTTTGACTGAGTCCAAGTTTTACAGAATAAATCCTTTAATTAGAGGGATTTCTTCTGTGAAGTTTGGATTCATCAAAGGAAAGAAAGCTAACACACTGGACATCAATCAGCATCCACAAAGATCTTGAGAGGCTAAACACTGGGCTGAAACCCTAAGATGAAATTCAACAGGAAGAAATGTAAAGTCCTAGACTTTGGTTCAAAAAAAATCACCTTTACAAGACAAAACAGGCTTAGGCTGCAGTTTGTCTGAAAATGATCTGGGGTCTGGTGGGCTCCTAGCTCAGTGCAAAGAAACCCTGAGGGTCTTCCCCTCCCAGATTGATTTTTTTATTTTATTTTTTATTTATTTTTCTTTTTAATTTTTGATTAGATAACGAGGCCTTTCTCTGCCCCAATTCTTATTAAGCCTTAATCACTGAATGGGCATTGCCTCAATCAAACTGAGACCTGTTAAAGACCTTAGCTTGAAAAGGCCAAGGTTCCTCATTGCATTGAGGGCCATCTCCAGTCGTCCTGATTTATATCTGGCCACTGGACAAAATGGATCCAGAGGAGAAAGTGAAGCTGGTGACTCTGCATAGCCCTCCCTCACTTAAATCCAATTCACTTGCACGTCATGGCATATCCTCCCAAATATCATGGTCTTCTTCAAGAAAGAAGGGCAAACAACAACAGTTCAATGTTAATTAGTAAGGTGACATGGCAGCCTAATGCGATGCCTAGCTACCAGGAAATAGGTGACAGCACCTCAGTAATCTGCCCCAGTCAGATCACACCTTCAATACTGTGGCCAATGCTAGGTGCCACCATTTAAGTAAGGCCTTAATAAACTGGAGACCATCCAGAGGAGGGCACAACAGAGAGAGGCCATGCCATATGAGGATCAGTGGGAGAAAGTGGGGATGGTTAACCTAGAAGAAACTCAGAGGAGACATGTCAGCTGCCTTCAAGCATATGAAGGACAATCCTGAGGAAGAGGGATTTGACTTGCAGAAGGATTTGACTAAGCAGAAATTAAGGCAAATTTAGGCCTGATGTCAGAAAAAACTTCCTGACAATGAGAGCTATTCAAAATTGAAAGAAGATGCACAGCACAGTACTGAGTCAGTAACAAAGGGACCTGGGTTTAAATGCTTGCTCTGCTTCTCACTACCTATGTGACCTTGGCCAAATCACTTGACCCCTCTTTTGGACTCAGTTTCCTCATCTGTGAAATGAGGAAATCAGATTAGATCTGAGGTCCCTCCCAGCCTTAAATCCATAATCCTACACATCAGGAGGTCAGGGGTTCCCCCTCATCAGATGTCTTCACACAGAGGCTGCATGATGCTTGATGAGTATGTTATACTGAGGATTCCTTTTTGGGTACGAGTTAAACTAGATGGCCACAGAGGCCCTTTCCAACCTTAATATTCTGTGCTGCTGGTTTAAGTTACAAGTTATAGATGGGGAAGATGTTCCTGACACTGAGAACTATCCAAAAAAAGGAACAGCCTCCATCACTAGGAAATGTTCCAGCAGAGGATAAATGACTATAACCAGTACATTCTAGACATTTCTTCTACGATGCTTTTTTATTTTTTTGGGGGGGGTTGGAAAAGATGATTTTGAGGACCTTTCTAGGGAATTATGCTAAGAAAGTGACTAACATGCCCATTGTTACTGTTGCTGTTGACTCATTTCAGCTGTGTCGAACTCTTTGTGACCAATTTGGGGTTTTCTTGGCAAAGATACTGGAGTGGTTTGCAGTCTCCTTCTCCAGCCCATTTTACAGATGAGGAAACTGAGGCACACAGCATGAAGTGACTTGCCCAGGGTCACAAAGCTATAAGTGTCTGAGGCTAGACTTGAACTCAGGAAGATAAGTGTTCTATTCACTGTGCCACCTGAAGGAAGGTAAAAATATATACACTAGAATATTTATAGTAATACTTTTTGTGGTTAAAAAAAAGAACAGGAAACAAAGTGGATGCTCTGATGTGGCACAATTAATGACTAAAGAAATTATGGGACATGAATGTAATGGAACGTTACAGTACTGTCAGACAATAAATACGATGACTACAAAGAAGCACGAAAAGTCATGCTAGGTGACAGCTAGATGACAATGGATAGAGCACTGGCCATGGAGTCAGGAAGACCCGAGTTCAAATTTGGCCGCAGACACTTAACAAACACTTACTACCTGGGTGACCCTGGGCAAGTCACTTAACTCCATTGTCTAGCCAAAATTAAACAAATAAACAAAAAAAAAATCAGTTACTCCCCTCCCCAATCCCTAAATAATCTAAGACCTCAGTAACTAATGAAAAGTGTTGATCTTGGATTCATGAGAATTGGTTTCCAGTCTTGGCTCTAACAAGTGTGTGACCTTGGGCAAATCACTTAATTTCTTCCTGCCTCAGTTTGCTCATCTGTAAAATGAGGACAATACTGTTGGTGTGAGGATTAAATGAGATGTGCAACACGTAGCGGGACACAGAATAAGCGCTACATAAACGTTAACTAGTATTACTACTATATACTACCACCACGCCTACTCGCTCGGTGACCCTGGCCCAGTCATTTCTCGTGTCTGGGGCCTCGACCTCCCACGTGGCAGACTAGGGGCCTGGCAATGGGCTGGACAGACCCAGACTTGACCCCAAAGGCATAAGTTCGGGACGCGCTGGAGGGACGCCAGACAGGAGATGGAAGCCAAGGACTTCTCCGTCCTCCCCATCCCCCGCTGCGGCCGCCGCGTCCCCGCCCGCGTCCCCCCGGCCTCGTGGCCTTTGACCTCCAGGGCCCGCCCCCCGCCGGGCCGCCTACTTCGATCCACCGCCTTGAGGAGCATCAGTTGGCATTTCTGGTTGTGGGTGAAAAAGCTGGTGGCGAGGAAGCTCCGCTTGGGCTTGCCATCCGGGAAGCGCTCGGGAAAGACCTGGTAGGTGAACTGCTGCTGCCGCTCCCGCTCCCGCTGCGGCTCCGCGCCCGCGCCCTCCATCCGCACGCCCGGCTCGGCGGCAGCGGCTCAGGCGGCAGCAACGGCTCGGCGCTGCCGAGCACCTGACCGAGGGCACGGGGGGGGGGGGGAAGGTTACAACCAGCCAACCAACGCGGCGGGCGGGGCCGCCCTGACTCCCGTGCCCCGCCCCGGACGATCACGTAACTCTTAAGCCACGCCCCGGGAGGGGCCATCTGCGAGGGGCGGGGCGCGCAGCACCCTCCCACATCCCCCGGAGCGGGCAGAGCTACCCGGGGCTTCCGGTGCCTTCCAGGGACGGAACGAATTGGGTTTTGGTTTGGGAATGTAATATAAAATATGTGTGTGAAATATGTGTGATGTAATATGAAATATTATACATATGTAATACAGACGTGTGTACGTTAGGTATATTAAATATAATGTAATTTTTATATGTAAAATAAAGTTACTGGTTTTTCCTTCCTGAAATCCATTTAGTCCTTCCAGCCCTGCCAGGTTTAAAATTCAGGGGCCTTTTTGGGGGGGCAAAGGGGGAGAGGACACCGTGCCACTGGTTTTCAGAGGTGGTATAGGGGGTGCAGTTGACAGAGCCCTGAATTTGAAGTTAAAGGATGGGGGGCTGGAGTCTTCCATTTTCAGGGTGAACATTTACGCCTCAGAAATCGGCAAAAACTACAAAATCAGAGCTTGATGTAGTGTTTTGTTGATTGTCTAGACTTAAGAAAGGGTTGGAGGAAATGTTAATAATGCAGATTAAACAGGAAAGTGTATGTCCTGTGTACATTCCCAAACAACACCACCACTACCAGAGCCGGTTGTTAAATATTTACTAGCACATCCTCAGTTTCCTCACCTGTAAAATGAGGGCCTTTGTCTTGATGGTTCCTAAGGTCCCTTCCAGTTCTAAAAGTCAATACAAGTCAAATCAGGTAGAGTCAACAAAAATGTTTTAAGGGCCTCCTACGTACCAGGCACTGTGCTAAGTGCTGAGAATACCGCCCCCCCCAAAAAAAGACAAAAGACAGCCCTTACTCCCTAAGAGTTCACAGTCTAATGGGGGAGCAAACAACTGTGTGAAAACAAGGGGTATATTGGAGACAGTCTCAGAGGGGTAGCACTAAGATTAAGGAGACCTGGGAAAGTCTTCTTGCAGAAAGTGAGGCTTACAGTGGGATTTCTGGGAAGCCAGGAGGCAGAAGTGAGAAGGGAGAGCATTCCAGACATGGGGGGTGGCCAAGGAAAATGCTCTGGACTCCCCAGATGGAGTAGTGTTTGAGGAACCTCACGCATGGCAGAGCATTTGGGAGGAGTAAGATGTAAGAAAATGGTTCTTCCTGGGTTCTTGCGAGGCATTCTGTTTGCAATGCCTTATATGTATTTGTATGTATCATTTTGTACAAGTAGGGTCAAACTCTTAAAAATTGTCATTAAGCTGCAATTCTGTACACCACAATAAAGAGCATATTTATTGAAATGTTTTACTTACAATATTTTGAAAACAAGGTGCTTTCAGTGTTAACCATATCAAGTTCAGGGGGGAGAAATATGGCACAGTATACCTAATTACACTAATTAGAGTTGTAAGTCTAGGACCTCAGGCATAGAGAGAAATGGCTGACCAGATTTGAAGTTCTGTGGTTGGGATTTTGCTCAACAGATTGAAGACCATGACCAGGAGTGGGAAGGGTCAGCTGTCAATGAACCAGAGCCTCTGGTGAGAGATTCAGGCCCAGCAGAACTGGCAATGACTCATAGGGTCCTGCCCCTATTCCTAACCTATCCCCAGTTCCTGGTACATAGTAGGCAGTTTTTTGATTAATTGATGGATTGAATTACAGGAAATAGTCAGTACAATAAACCTTTTTCATCCATTTAGTTTTTTTTCTGAATGGGTTATCACAGAAAAGGAAGTGAAGAAACGCCAGACTGACTCCTTTTGAGCAATGATGGACCTCACAAAGGAGGCCCTGTAATATTATGGGGCCCAGATCTATAAATCCAGCCCAAAGCTCTCCTGAGCTCCAGTTCCACATCACCAACTGCCTATTAGATACATCAAGCCAGATGTCCCAAAAATATCTCAAACCCAACATGTCTGAAACCAAATTTGTTATCTTTCCCCCAAATCTCACCTTCTGAATTTCACTATTGCTGTTGAAAGGAACCACCATCCTCCTAGTTGCTCAAGTTTATACTCTCTGTGTTATCAAATCTTCACCATCTCTCACTACACATATCCAACCGGTCTCCATACCTTGACCATTCTACCACAAGAACATTTCTCATGCCCTTCCTTCTACACCACACAAGGCTTACATGTTCCATACTCTATCCAAACTAGACTACTTCTATCTTTGCTGAACACACCTTGCTTTTGTCTGCTTCTATTTGAAGTTTCATCTCCCCATCTCTACCTGAAAAAATATTAGCCAATCCCTAAAGTCCACCTCAAATCACAACTTCTCCAGAAGTCTTTCCCTGATCCTAACTGGAAGTAATCTTTCCGTGCTCTGTGGTCCCTTCCTGCCACTTAATTACATACTATATCGTATTATAGATCTTTTAAAAAATCAATATTGTGCTTTCAAGTAAGTTCCTGAGGATGTCTCATATTTTATTCATCACTGTACACAACTTGGCTCATTGGATTTAGAGTTCATGCGGATCTTAGAAAATATCTAGTCCAAAGGCCTTGTTTTACAAATGAAGAAAAGTTCAGAGACATTAAGCAGCTGCCCAACTCATGCAGGTAGCCAATAGGTCTTCAGAGTATAAGTCTAGTTATTTTTCCACTATTAGTACTTTGCACAAAGTAATCACTCAGTAAATATTTGTCAAATGAATCTAAAAGGATAACCTTGAAGATATGGGTTTAGGATCAATAAAGATAGAAGTTCATTCAACAACATTTGCCAAGGGCCTGAGTATATAAAAACAGATTCCCCAAAAACCTGATATGGCCCATACTCTCAAAGCACTTGCAATTAGACAGCATACAACATGTAAATAAATAAATGGGATAAAAGGTGAAAAGTTTTTGGAGCAAAAGAGAGAAGAACTAATGTGTTTTAAGAAAATGTGGGGCAAGAGAGATGACTTTCAGCTGAGGGGATAAAGAAAGTAAAAGGAAGACTTCATGGAGGCTGTGGCAGCTCCTTCCAGACCATACTTTACATCCCATCCATCCCCCCACCAAAAAACCAGGGCCTATCCAATGAGGATACCTTGCTGTCTTCTCTGTTTATTGCACATGTTTCTCACCACACACTCATTCCCCACTTTCCACCTCTTACTCTCGCTTTGGGAACAATAATCAGATAATTGCTATCACTGCTACTGGAAAGGGCGTGATAATGGATTTCTCCTATAACTTCACTAATAATTCTTGTGACTCCCCAAGTCAACAAGTAAAACCAACAAGCATTTATGAAGTACCTATACTATGTGCTAGGCTAAGTGCTAAGGATACAAAGAAGAATGAAAACAGTCCCTGAACTCAAGGAGCTCACATTCTAATGAGGAGACAATTTACATACATATAAGACGTATACAAGGTAAATTGGAGGCAATCTCTGAGAAATGCCACTAACAGGTGAGGGAGGGAGGAAAGACCTCCCTTCCCTGGCCCCTACTCTCCAATATGTTGTATTCCTCTACTAAAACACAAGTTCTTTGATGACCAGGACTGTCTCCCTTTTGCATTTGTATTCCCAGAACCTAGCATGGTTCCTGACACATAGTAAAGAAGCCCTTAATAAATCTGTTTGTTATGGGAGAAGTATCTCCTCTTTAAACTCACCACTAACAAGTAAATCTACCACAACACAAAAATTGCAGAAATAAAAACCTAGGGGGTTTTTTTATTATTATTATTATGCTTAAGCACAGATTCAGGATTCAGCAAAAAATAACTTTGAACCAAAATTAGGATTCTAAGATTTTTATAGACAAAATTACATCAGAGAGACAGAGAAATAAATTCTTTTACATATATCAGTCTTATACTTTTTTAGGACTTAAAGTTAAAAAGATCGATTCATAATCCCAAACTTCCTTCAAAGTCATAAAAATTGAACTAAGTGAAACAGAATCATAATCTTTTCTATCCCCTAAGGAAACTAACCTAGTCAACCAGTCTCTTTAGGTAAACTAAGTCAGGTTATAGATTAAACTACATTTAGAGGGTTCACAATGGGCTGGTTGAGAAGGGAAATTGACATGCCCACAGAGTCAGTGTCAGATAAATCCTTCCACAAATAATTAAATCACTACGGGATGCTCAGACTCCACTTTGGCTTCTTACCTGAAGAATGTCCAAAAAGTCTTCCTTTGATTCTACCATTTTATAAGTCATTGTTTGTCCTTCCTTCTGGAAGAGGACCTTGACATCAGGAAGGTGATGCCGTGACTTGCAAGTGAATTGGATTTAAGTGAGGGAGGGCTGTGCAGTCACCAGCCTCACCTTCTCCTCCAGAAACATCTGGGTCCAGTGACAATTAGAGATGGCCCCCTTCCATAAGTCAGATTTTTAGCCAAGTGAAGTTAATATTAATGGAGAAAAGTCCACCAAATATCTATGAGAATGGCATAGTAAAATGTAATAAAAGGAAAATGAAAGATTCCCATCAGAGTTTCCTCATTTTGATTATAGAGAGGTCTACAATACCTCTCTTGGATCATATACTTATAAAATGGAGTGGCCACATTGTTATCGTTATTGTTGTTTGTCCTTCATTTTCAATGAGAACCAGTGACATCACAGGGTGATGTCTTGACTTCTGGGTGAATTGGATTTAAGTGAGACTGAGTTGTATAGAGTTAGCAGCCTCACTCTACCAGAGTCATTGAAGTCCAGTGGCAAGACAAAAATCAGGATAGCCCAGGATGCAGTGGATGATCTTGGCCTCTAAGCACTAAGCACTCCAGAGTGCCCACTTTGGCTGCCTTCGTGGTCATTGGAAGACATTGTTCTCATCCACCCATGGGGGGATGGGTCTTCACATGCTTGGGGTAGACACCCCACCTAACCCACTAATGGGTGTGAGTCCCATCAATTACCCTCAATCTGATTTAGCCCATCTGCTGAGATGGTTTACTAGGTGAGGCACTACAAACCTCCATCTTCTTGGAGCCACACGTGACAGCTGAGTATCAGTGGACACCAAAGACACATGAGCACCCCTCAAAAGAGCTGGGCAAGCCCTTACACCAGAGGTGCCAGTCCTCCTTGAACACCCTTTACACCAGGCAGAGAGGAGAAAAAGAAGGAGAAAGTGCATGGGCTACTAAAAACCACTTTTTGGTTTTTCCTGCCTTTCTTTTTTTGCTCTCTGTCTTCCAAAAAGGTCACAAAGACCACTGCCTGGCTCTCCTCTTGGACAGGTCCCACCGAAGCTCCAAGAACCCAGAGCAGGAGGGTATAAGGGCCCCAAAGTGACGATGAGAGAAAAACCACAGAGGGGAAAGAGGAGTGGAGATTCTTGACAGCCACATGCTGCAGACCCAGCACGCACCCAAAGAAAGCCAGAGGCACATCTTGGTGGCAAGCAAGGGATGAGTCAAGAACTTGGAAGAGCATGCTGTCTTTTGCAGGAGATGGGAACAGTTCCTTAGCCATTCAGGTGGGAGGATCAAGAAAAGCAGACAAGGGGCAGCTAGGTGGTGTAGTAGATAGAGCACTGGCCCTGGAATCGGGAGGATCTGAGTTCAAGTCTGGCCTGAGACCCTTGATACTAGCTGTGTGACCCTGGGCAAGTCACTTAACCCCAATTGCCTCACAAAAACAAACAAAGAAAGAAAGAAAAGCAGGCATGGTACGGCACCTGGGTCTCAAACGAGACCTACTCAAAAGCCCCAAACCAGGGTAAGGGGAGACAAAGACCTCCCACGCACCACCTTCCACCACCACTCTACCTCACTACACTGATGCAACCACGATACCACATTTAGAAAGCTATGCCATCTCTACAGCTCCCCAAAGCCCCCCACAAGCCAACAGGCCCCCAGAGCCAGGACAACTCCAGGGGACTTACTCACCGTATCAGCCAGAGAAGCAACAGACAGGTGTGTCTGCATTAGAATTTTAGCACATATCTCTGCAGACAAACATAAACACCAGAAACATTAAAGCAAGAGTAATACGGTAATGATCATCAATATTAAATAATATGAGGTCTCCTTGATCCAGGTTGCTTCTATTTCAAATGTCCATTTAATCAGCTTATTTCATTCTTGTGTCTTAGCTTTCTCATACAGCCATCTAATCCTGGGAAACATTTTCCCTTGGAAGTTCTGGAATAAGCCTCATTCCCAAGGCAGTTCTGGAATAGACCTTGTTCCCAGGGTGGTTCTCAGAGATGTTCCTCCAAGTCAATACATGTTCTCTGGTTCCAATCTCTTACAGAGATTCTAGAACATCTTTGCTAATGCTGCTAAAACCTATTAGTGATAGGCCTAATAGTCTCTTAAATTTGACCTTCCAGTAACTAGTTCAAACCTTATGGAGCTTATCCTTATAAACAACGGAACTATAAAAAGAATATCCAAATTAGGAACCCATAGTTCACCTGAAAGTTCAGAGAACTTCAGTTTTTATATACCATTTGCTCTTTCTATCTTTACCTGAACCCTATACATATGGATACATATCTACAGACTGAAGGAAAAATCTTAAAAACAATCCATGAGGGCCTAATTTATAAAACTAGTTCTTCTGTCTCTTAATATCAGATAAAGACTTCAAAACAGGAAAATAAATGATTAAAAATTTATAATTATTTATGCAATTTATATATAAAATCCTTAATCCAATTTTGAGAATTTATTACTAAAACACAATCAAAGTCTGTATTTACTAGGGAAAAAAAGAAAAAAGAAAAAAACTTTACACAAAAACTTCATCGGTATATATTCAATTGAACCTGAAGGATATACAGTACTTTGTTCTACATTTTCAGTCTTTGTTCTCAATTACTTTCAGGATGAAAAAAAAAACCTTTTTAAATATATCATCCAGGAATATCATGTTTACTTGTCCTTTTGTAATTTTTTTAATAGAAACATTTGAAATCCAACTCTGTGTGTGTGTGTGTGTGTGTGTGTGTGTGTGTGTGTGTGTGTGTGTGTAAAACAGTATAATCTCGTTTTTCTTTTTTTTGAGGCAATCGGGGTTAAGTGACTTGCCCAGGGTCACACAGCTAGTAAGTGTCAAGTGTCTGACGACAGATTTGAACTCAGGTCCTCCTGACTCCAAGGCCAGAGCTCTACTCACTTCACCACCTAGCTGCCCCATGATCTTGTTTTTCTCAAAGTGAAGTTTACATCTCCATTCAAATTCCAAACTTTTACATACATCTTAAAACTTGTATCTTTTACATCATGTTTTTGTCCCATCCCCCTTTGGGATATAGATAGATATGTACATATATGTGTGTGTTTATATCATCACATCATACAGAAAAGAGGTGGTACTAGGCAGACCTAATTCTACATATGAATCCATAATCATTAACAAAGGGATGGATGGCAAGTCTAAGAATTCCTCTCTACTTGCATCCCACTGTAGTAACCCAGAGATGTTTGAGTATTGCAACAACATGATTCATTATTTTCAGATTTCTTCAAGTTGTCTTCAAGCTTCCAGACATTCCAGACATTCCTTTTCTCCAGCTTCAAGGGGGATGATGGAAGAGGCCTCTCCCACTTCAGGTGGCTGAAAGAAAAGACTCTAGGAAGAGATGAAAGGAGCTGTCAGTGTCTCCATCATGCCCCTATTGCCAGCTTGCTGCACTAAAGACTTCAGGGCACTTTCCCTTGGATAAAATCTAGGACTCTTTCTCTTGGGTGAGCTGAGTTACCCCCCTCTCAATGAGAGAGCTCCTTCACTCTGTATTGTCTGATATATATTCTCCTATGTATACCTTCTCTGATTTCTGTCTTGTTATTTGGATGAATAGGTTTCTTTGCTAATTACTATGTGTATTCATTGTGGTGTTTGATGGGAAGGGAGCGAAGGTTTGGATATGAAGCTTGGGGTCCTCTTTCTCCCATTAATGAACAGTGGCCAGGAGTTTAGCTTGAACCCAAAGACTACATCTTCTACTAGGGTTGGGGAACCTGCAGCCTCAAGGCCACATGTGGCCCTCTAGGTCCTCGAGTATGGCCCTCTGACTGAATCCAAATTTCAAACACACTCAAGGACCCAGAGGGCCACATGTGGCCTCGAGGCTGCAGATTCCCCACCTCTGATCTAAACTAACAATATTTAAGGGAGCAGATAGATAAAATTCTAGCCCAGTATCCCCACTCTCTAAGGAGAGCAAAGTGACCCTAACCTCCTGCTTCCCCTCCTTGCATGAATTAGTCTCCCTTAGAAAAGGGATGGCGTGGCAGCGAAGAGTCTAAGGATGTCTATTCTGCCTCCCTTTGGGCCATACGACAATATCCTCATGTTATATATATAGGGGACAGCCCTCACCAAATCCATTAAGCAGGACAGCATAAGCCCCAGGAAGAAAGCCAAAAGAAAAAACGACCCTCTTGGTGTCAAACCCCAGGATCAAATCAGTCTGTGTAAGGCTAGAGTCTTAGGGGGTGGAAGGCAAGGGCAGAAAGTGGGGCGGAGGAGAGGCAGAGTGGTGGGATTCCTGGGCCATGGGTTAGAGGTATAACTACCATATAAGGTAGGTTTGAACAAAATGCAGCTGACAGTCTAACTGCATGCTGAGTCTTAGAAATCTAGGCCATAGCTGATATATTTCATGTTACATAATACACATGTCCCTGAAAAAGGTCTATGCAAAATGAATAAATTTGAATCATAAATTCTTATTGATTTACATTATAAATCTAATCTAGTCCCCAGCTCTGCAACTGGTAGTACCTATGTCAACTTAGGCAAATCATCTAACCTCCTTGGGATTCTGTTTACTCATTTGTGAAATGTAAGAGCAGTCTAGTCCAGGACTGGTGCAGACCTGTCCAGCAGTTCAAGCTTGAAATTGAAATTAATGAGATTCACGTGGAATGTTTTAACGGTTAACAAAAAGATTACTTGGCTACAGCACTTAAAGGAGAGCCATAGTTACATCATGTAAAGGATACCACACTTGGCTCTGGGAATGAGGCCTTCACATCTCCAGAAATGGGTCAGCAGGACAGAGTGTGGTGACTATGGTGAAGTCATTAGGGGACAGACTCCTCCAGGGCCCAATTTTATGCCATTAGGTAATATTTTCCTTACCTTTCAGGGGAGAAAAGAACCAGCACATCCTTCATGATAGGGACACTGTTAGGTAGTGTTCCTACCTCAAGGAGAGTTAGACTGAGTGATCTCTAAGTTCCCTTAACAACTTTAAACATTTATGCTTTAATTGCTTAATCATATTTTTTTAAAAATAGCAACAATAATAAACTGTCTTGATAACATTTTATATTTTACATGCCTTATCCTACTGTTATCCTAGTATGCCAACACTATGAGTAGATAGGATAGATATTACCCCCATTTTATAGATGAGGAAACTGAGGCTCAGAGAGATTTATTAATGCTCAAGGTGTGTAGTGAAGGTGACAGTTCGTGTCTTCTGAATCCTTGTCTCTTTTGATTCTTTACATTGTAGAACAATGCGTTTTGGATGAAAGACGCTGCATAGTGTTCATGGGCCGCTCTTCACAAGTGCTCAGATACAGTCAGTTGAGGTGAGGACACATCACTGGAAGAAATAGGCTAGTCAGTTTTTCCTGCTCCCACCCAGTGTGGACATCTTCTGGTAGTCTCTATATACTTAGATTTGGGGATCTGGGAGGAGATTCCCAGTGGACTGCCACCTTCTTTGTTAAGCTGAGTTTGGGTAAAGATGTCCCCAAAAAGTCCTTTTGTTCTAAATGATTGAATCTGCACAAGAGATTCGTTACTGAGTCTAGGAAGTCTTTTCTGATATCCCTCCTGGTGTGGCTTTCTCCGGGTGATTGAAGATAGCAAAGGCAATGCAATACCTGGAATGATTAATGTTTTGTTTTTTTAAGGTACTTATTGTATGCTCAAGAGTGCACAGGATGGCTCAGGAGTGTTAATTAAGAAATTTAGCCCATGAATAAACTATGGCACCTTTGTTCTTTATTTTTCCATAAGACCTGTTATGAGCTAATTATGCAGAAATTTAGAGGGAGCTCCCTCAGATACTTGTGTCCTTACCAATGGTTTATTATTCTGTATACCTATGTAGTTTTAATGGATTCTCATTGTTTTTGCTTCATACCCTAAAACCAAGCTTTACACACTAAAATCAAGTTTCCTCTTGTCTCCAAAATTATGACTTCATAGACAAGCATCCACCTGGATCCTAATAGACCTATAGCATCTAGGATCACATGTAACAAAACATTCTTCTCCTTGTTAATGGAACTTGATGGGTTGTAAGAGGAATTAGCTTTCTAATCTTATGCCCTTTGGAATGATTATTGTTTAAACAGCCCCTGGAAGAGGTAGTGTGTTATAGTGGATAGAGCTAAAGCCTCTATCCTATCAGGAAGAGCTGGGCTTGAGCCTTGTCTCTAACACATACTGGCTATATTACTCTGTGTAACTCACTTAACTTTTCAGGCAACTCCCTAAGATTATAAATTGCAGATAATGCATGGATCTGTATTGGTAGGGGGGGAACTTCAATAAAAGCACAAGTCTGGTTTTTTTTTTTCCCTGAATTGAGCCAAGACTGGACCCGATAACAGTTACAGTCAGTGGACTGACTTCCTGTGCCGCCCCGCTGTTGCCCCACAGTTACACTCATCTCGATCTCGTGGCAGACAGCACAAAGTGAGAGGTTTCCTCAGAGGAAAAATGATTCCTCTCCCTATGACTGTTTTTATTCCCAAATGCTCTATGTTGTGTCAGCCTACGAGTTGGTTGAGCAATAGTTAAGAAAGGGTGTACGTGACTTGAGGCATATCTGTATTACCTTTTACAGTAGTTTTCTGCTCCCTTCTCTCCCTTTCTCTATTTTACAACCTTGTTTTTTTCCCCTTCTCACCTAGTTAAATTTTTACTATGCCCAGTGCCCTTAGAGTACACATCTCAGGGGAGTTTGTATCAGGAGCGGGTCAAAGCCCATCTCAAGGCCATTACAGTAAGCCAAGCTAGAGGCGAGGAGGACCTGAATTAAGGTAATTGCTGTCTAAGCAGAGAAGAGGAGTCAGATGCAAGAGATGTTGTGAATATAGAAATGTCAAGATTTGGCAATTAGGTAGATATGTGGGGGTGAGGAAGAATAAGGAGTCAAGGATAATGCCAAGATTACAAACCTGGGAAACTGGAAGGATGATGGTGTCTTCAAAAGAAATAGGGGAGTAAAGGGGGCATGTTTGGGAGGAAAGATGAGTTTTATTTGGACATGTTGAATTTCAGATATCTCCAAGACATCTAGTTTTAAATGTCCAGTAAGTGATTGGTGATAAGAGATTAAAGATATGGGGAGAGACTGGGGCTGGATATATAGGTCTGGGAGTGATTGGCACAGAGATGATGGTTAAACTCATCAGAGCTGTGGCAGTTGCCAAGAGAGAACGTTTAGAGAGAAGAATTGAGGACCTAGGAAAAAACTTTGGGGAATAACAACAGTTAGGATGATGAGTCAGAAGGGGAACCTGAAGAGTAGCCAGAAAGGTAGGAGGAGAACCAGGAAAGAGCAGTGAGTGTCCATAACAGCCCAGAGTGGAGGAAAGGATGCCCAAGAGCAGACAGGTCGAGAAGGAAGAAGATTAATAAAAATCTATAATATTTGGCAATTAAGAGATCTCTGGGATCTTTGAGAACTTTGTAGAAAACAGTTTCAGTTGAGTGATGAGGTCAAAAGTGAGACTACAGTCTCCTTGGGGAGTGATAGGAAACCATAGGTGTCCCTCAGGGTTTTTCTGTCCTGAGCCCTCCTCTCTTCTCTTCTCCCTCTATACTGTTTGCTTTGGTAGTCTCATCAGCTCCCATGCATTTAATTACCATCTCTGGGTGATGATTCTCAAATCTCCCTATCCTGCCCCAAACTTTCAGCTGATCTCCAATCTCGCGTATCTAACTACTATTCAGAGTTGGATGGGACACACTGGTTGTCCAGGAGACATCTTAAACTCAATATGTCTAAAACAGACCTCGCTATGTTTACTCCTAAATCCTCTCCTACTCCCACTTCCACTCCTCCTCTCTTGCCTTCCATATTTCTGTAGAGGGCAACACCATCCTCCTAGTCCCTGAGGCTCATAGTCTAGGAGTCATCCCCACCATCTCTCACTCGCCATATCCAATGGGTTGCCAAGGCCTATCAATTTCACTTTTGCAACATCTCTTGACTATACCCTCTCTCTGACACTGTCATCATTCTGGTACAGCCCTTCATTACCTTGTACCTAGACCATTACAATAGCCTGCTGGTGGCTCTCTTCTTTCTCCTTACTCCAATCTATCCTCCATTCAACCACTAAAATGGTTTTCCCGAAGCACAAGTCTGATCATGTAACCGCCACTCCTCACCCCACTCGATAAACTCCAGTGGCTTCCTATTACCTCCAGAATCAAATATAAGATCTTCTTCTTACTCCCCTATACATTCTCTTCAATCTAGTGACAATGACCACCTAGCTGTTCCACAAATAAGACACTCCATCTAAGCATTTTCTCTGGCTGTTTCCCATTTCCAGAACACTCTTCCTCAACTTCACCTGCTGGCTTCCATTAAGTCCCAAATAAAACTCCATCTTTTTACTGGAAGCCTTCTCCAGCCTTTTTTGTGTTAGTGCCCCTCGTGAGCAAGTTACAAAATTGCTACTCCAGGGCTTGGATCGAGCCCTCAAAAAGACTCACCTAAATAAGGGTGGATTACTTTTAGACATAGTCCCAGTTAACCCTCCACAGGCTTTCCTTATTACACCCTCTCTAATGGGGTCACTGGGGTCTCCATGTTTCCACTGTTAGGCCTTCTACAATCTGAGGAAACAATTCAGGTCCTCCCTAATTGGCAGGTTCCCTTTCCTCTAGTTTGCTTCAGACAGCCCCTTCCTAGAAAAGGCCCTGGAGACAGAGAGATATAAACCTAGAAGGTGCTTTACTTTGAAATGTTATAGGGGAAGTGAAATTGTCTTTTGAAAATCGTGTTGAATGGGAATTCACCTGGGAGAAAGGGGATCTTTTATCTGATTTGGTGGTAATCTGAAGTCCCTGGATACAGGTAAGGGGATATCAATCCAACTCCTACAGAAAGGTGGTAGCCCCTCAGTAGAGGCTTCTAAAATTACCAAAATTTGGTGTCATCCAATCCTTGATAGTACTCTGAGGAATAGGGAGGTTTTGGCTGATCTACTGAGGAACACTGAGTGGGTGATGTTAAGGGCTGAGTCCCAGTATCAACTCAGGCCCTAAGATAAGTTGCTTGCAAGAGGTCTGTGACCTCTTAACTGACTTCATACAGATGACCCAGACTTGAAATTGCGATAACATTGGAGATATTTTCATCTATATTGTGGATCTGATGATTTTCCTGGTACTGCTATGGTAATCATGGTGCTTTTTTTTTTATACTAGGATACCTACCATAACTGCTCCCATTGTATGAAATTATACTTTAAAGAAGATTGTTTTGCTTTATGTTTTCATCTTTTTATTATTTGTAATAAGCTCTTCCTCCAACTTTGCTTATGATGAGATTATTTTAGTGGTGGAAGGTCCCCTAGAAAATTGCTGAGACCTTACCACCTAAGATGTGGGATACGTGTAGGAGGGGCACTTGTTTCATGTGGGCTGGGCTAACTTCTCCTCAAGGGAATGGAAAGGACATTCTCTGGATCATCGCTAGTTTGGCCTCATAAGACATAAAAGGCCCAGCCTGTGAGGATTTGTTGGTGGTGGCTTTAGCAGAATTTACAATACTCAATAGAAAGTGCCTTTCTAGATTTAGCATGACCACTTAGTTACCAGGATGAATGCAGTCATGAGGAAGTATAAGCCATTTTATTTTTATTATCTTTGTAATCTTAGGAATTATCCTTTGTTTAGTAAAGTCATTTTTATTGCATTTTATGGTCCCTAAGTGTCTCTTAGCACTCTAGCTCTGTGCCTGAATCACTGGACTGACCTGAGTTAGGCCTAGGACAGAATAGTCCTGAATTGGATTTCACTCACTCTCTGGTGTTCTAGTTTCTTATACATTTGACTGGGAGAGACTGGACCACCTTATTCCCCACATCCCAATGACAAGAGGTAATTCCAGAGGGTCTGGAAAGGGAGGTGCTATCAGCTCCAATACTTGTATGACACTAGCTGATGGTCCTTGCTTACCATTTGGGATTTAGGTATTTAAACAAAATTTACAACAGGGCCTGGCACATAGTAGGTATTTAATAAATGCTTATTAACAGATGACTAAAACTTTGTTCCTACTTTGTTGGGGTTTTTTTGCTTTTTTTTTTAGGCAATTGGGGTTAAGTGACTTGCCCAGGGTCACACAGCTAGTAAGTGTCCAGTGTTTGGTCTGAGGCCGCATTTGAACTCAGGTCCTCCTAACTTCAGGGCCGGTGCTCTATGTTCCTACTTTATATAGCTAATTCTGACCCAAAAAATTCTGGCCAAGAAATCGTCATATCCCACTTTGGCCACCAGATGGGAGAAGAGAGTGCCATAAGGATGTCATATCCTCAAGGACCACCTGATGGCAGTCAAGAGAATAGAAAGGGGGTCATGTCATACAGTAAGAAAAGAGTAGGGAAGCTGTCATATTCCTTCAGCCCACCAGATGGAACCAAGACCCTACTGTAATGGTTGGCTCACTATAGGCACAAATAGTGAATCAAGGATCAATCTACCACTTAGAATCCTGATTTGTTTTTATCAGCTCCAGAAACATCACAGAACTACCCAGCGAAGTTTTCTGTTGCCCATTTTCTCAGACAAAGCCACTCGGGCCAATTACCTGATTGCTTCTGTTCTCATCCAACCTGGATTAGAGAAGGGATCATGAGGAAGGATAATAGTATCCCTAACACCCTGAGGAAAGGATGGAAGAGGAGTGTTAGTGCCAACCAAAGAGAAAAAGACCAAAATCACTTTCATCAAAATATCTTACTAAATCCCTGGATCTTCTCAGGAAGAGGCCTGTGGAACTCCCAGGCAGTCATGGCTCATGCTGGATTTGAACCAAGATATGATAGCATGGGAGGAAAAAGAAGAATAACTAAAGGGTAACTTCTGTAAAAGGGAGAACACCTCATCACCACAACCACTGTAACCACCATCAGGAAAAGGAACCAGGAGAGAAAATCTAAGAAATCGGAAACTTAGTGTGAGTTTAGTCTAACACTTAAACTTTGAGTATAAACAGGTTCTCAGCCCACTGTGAGTAATCTGGAGGGTAGTCATTTACCCACAGGCCTTCTCCAGTAACCTGCACTTTGGGGGAGTGAGCTGGAGTAGCAATGACTCCTATAAACTAATAATTCTGCATCTTAGGAATTTTCCCAGCCTACTTTGCCTTGGGGAGCTAAGCAGTAGACTCAAGAGTTGACAGTTGGGTCCAGTACTGTCTCTCACTGCTAAAACCTTTGATGAGTCTCCATCTCCTTAGTGCAGAAGGTCTTAACCTTTTTTATGTCATGGCTCCCTCTGCCAGTCTGGTAAAGCCTATAGACCCCTCCTCAGAATAACGTTTTTAATTGCATAAATATGGAGAATTACAAATGATTACACTGAAAAAAGTTACCAAAATATTTTGCAAAATCAGTATATAGGCCCCAAATTAAGAACCCTTGCTAGTGCTTTATATTTTTCCTACTGAAATCATACATAGCTGTGCTGAGTATTTCTTATGAGTGTGATGTGCCTACGCTAACAAGATTTGGCATCTTTCAGGACAGAGGTCATTAGGACACTTGGACTAGAGACTGCCAGAGTTAACTGAACAAAAGGGTACAATCACAAAATATTAGAAGCTAGAATCAGCTAGATCAACCTTTCGATTTTATAGGTGAGGAAACTCAGGTCCAAAAGGGTAAATAACATTACTGACAGAGCCAGACCTAGAATCCAGACTCACTAAGGAAATTATTTCATGTGGACTGGACTTTTTTCTTTTCTTAGGCAATTGGGGTTAAGTGACTTGCCCAGGTCACAGAGCTAGTAAGTGTCAAGTGTCTGGTCTGAGGCCGGATTTGAACTCAGGTCCTCCTGACTTCAGGGCTGGTGCTCTATCCACTGTGCCACCTAACTGCCCCTGGACTTCATTTTTTCCCCTATCATGGGAGAGTTAGGCTGAATCATATGGGGAGATTTTTGTCAACAAAAAGTAAATACTAGTGACCAAATACATACCAAAAGGTTCATCTGATTAAAGAGAAAATGCATTATCTTCTAAAAATCTCATCACATGAGGAAGAAGAAAAGAGGAGGAGGGATAATAATTGGTCTTCTGTTTAAAAATCTGCTGTACACATATAGAGCATTTAATGAGAATACCTCATGTTTTTAGGACTTTGATTTGTCATCTTTTTTTTAAATTTCAAATCCTCCTAGTTTATTTTTACATTTTATTAATAACTTTTGTCTATCTTATATTTTACCCCCTTGAACCTTCCCTCATGAAAGACAAAACAATTTTGCAACAACAAAATACCCACATAATACAAAAACCACATGATTAACAATGTATATAATAATCTGTATTAAGAATCACCTCCCAGCAGTTACTTTCTGCCATGAGAGAAGAAATATATTATGTTTCATTATATATCCTTCAGGACTCTTCATTGGTTTTTCCATTATTCAACTTCCTTTTAGTGGTCTTTCCATTTACACTGAAATAGTCTATATATTTATTGTTGTTTGCTCTGTACCAAATTAATACTGATCTTCCCATGTTTCTCTGAATTCCTCATATTCAAAATTTCTTACTGTACTAAGAATCATTACACTCATGAACTAGCATTTATTAAGTACCTGCTATGTGCCAGGCACTGTGCATTCATCTAGCATAGATTTGTTTTGTTTCCACATTCCCCAGTTGATGGGCACCCATTATGTTTCCAGTATTGGGCAGCTGAAAGAGTACTATTGTCAATATTTTGGAATATCAATATTTATTAATATTGTGTCTATCTCTGGCTTCCTTAGGGCATATCTAGCTCTTTTACAATAAAGCATACATAATTTTGCTCATCCAATGAGGTTGCTCCCTTCAGAAATTTAGAAATTAGCAGTCTTACACAAGGATACATACCTACCCTAGCTAATTGAGGATTACACTCACTCCCAAATGCAATTTAGCAAAGAAACATCATCTTACAAAATTCTCAACAGGCCTGTCTCAGTGCTTGCAAAGGCCTTTCCCAACCCGAAGACAATGAGGAAGAAGGAAAACAAAATAAAATTTCCCTCTCAATGAGAATGCCTTGTCTCTACAGAGTTTCCAGAATATATGGGGCTCTCCTGACAGGGATTAGGAACCTGAAGCTAACTAGAAGTCATTCTCTCATACTTCAAGTGAAGAACCAAATTACTTTGTCTTGGTGTTTATGTAACAAGATCCACCAACGTTGGTCAGGGAAAGGAGTATGGCACTCAACCTCTCCCCTTCTCACTCTGAGAGGCCCCTCTACACTGGATTCAGTTGCATACCAAATGCTATAACAAACTAGTACTGAACTCAGGGGATGCTTGTGTGATCACCCTTACCCTCTCTTATTAAGGGACTCATCTGCTCTGAACCTATGTGTACAGACTGGGTTTAATCTAGAGGGGTGAAATTTCTCCAGGAATCCCTGCTGCACATAGGTAATAAAATAAAAGTCCATCCTGACCCCTCAATAGGAAAAGCAAGCTAAATCATGTAATGGAGTGTATGCAAATGTTCCATGTTTAACAGTTTAAACCTGAGCCATGGTGACTGAGAGAAGACAAAGTAGTATGGATGTACTTAGGTTAGATAGAAAATAGGTTCTGTAATACCCCACTCCAAAACTCCAAAGGAGATTACAATTTCTACCTTTGGGTAGAGCAGGAGAAGAGCTGTGGCTGAGCATTCACACCTCTATTCTCCTATCCAAGAAGGATATTGGGCTATAATTATATCTATTCCACATCTGATTTGTGCTGTCTTTTAGGGTTCAGAATAAAATCCACTTTCCCTCATCTCTAAATTTGAGGAAAGGTACACTCAGCCAAATGAGCTCCTTCCACCAAACAATTGTTACAAAAAAAGATAATCACAGACAGTGAGTAAACCATTATCTAATTATGGCACTAGGGCCAAATCTGGCCTTCCTCCTGTTTTTGTACAGTCTATGAACAAAGAAAGATGTTCACGTTTTTAAGTACAAAACTGCACAAAAATAATTGGCAGGCCAGATTTGGCCTATAAGCCATAAATTGTCAACTCCTAATTTAAGTAATCAGTAAAACAGAAATTTGAGAAGTTATACACATTAGCATAGATAATAAAATACACAAGAGAAAGTGGGTTCTTTGACTCATGAGCAAGATGAAATCTCAACTAAACCTTCTCACCAAAGAAGTCTGCTCTTAGAAGTCTCTGAGGTTACAGGTAAATCAGGGGATATGTTGAAGGGCTAGGTCTTTCCACATTTGTGGCTCTGGGCACTCCTGTTAGCCATTCAACATTTTCATTTTGTCTCCCTTGCTACCTCTTTCTTCAACTCCACTTGTCTCTCATTCTCGTCTCTCCAAACTGTCTCTTACATATACCATATGCAACATCATGGGCTCAAAAGTCTCTCAGCCAATCAAAAATCACATCTCCCTTAACAGGGTTATGGGGTTATGTACAGTGTCACAGAGTTATGCTTCAAGGGACTGCCCAAACTTGTGGGGCAGAAATGTTATTCTTAAAAACAAAACAAACTCAGAAAAGCCCCCAAAGAACACACCTGTAACTTCCAAAAACGGGTTAACTACTTGGGATTATTTATCCAGGTTTTCTAAGCCATCAGGCAAACTCCATCCTATGAACCTGTTCATTAGAATCTCAGACAATCCATCTGGACTCATATCATGGTATGATAAGCAGTCTAGATTTGTTTAAAAGTTAAAAAAAAAGCAAAAGGAACATGGATGAGCTCCCATGACATGCTATTCTAGGTGACTTGCCTAGGCATCAGTACTCTAGAAATGCAAAATCAATACTGCCCATATTAGCTTCCATACTCATAATGGGTATAGTAATAGAGTAATAACAATAGTTATGTATCACTTTAGGGTTTGCAAAGTGATACATAGATATATAGATATAGATATAGATATAGATATAGATATAGATATAGATATAGATATAGATATAGATATCACTTTACAATCTATATGCATATATGTGTATGTATACATACATACATACATACATACATATGTATATACAGTCAGCAGATCCTCACAGCAACCTTGTGAGATAGGTTCTATTATTATCCTTCATTAGAGGAGAGCATCCCCCAACCCCCGGGAAATTAGGTAGACACTATATGGAGGATTCATGGGAGGACAAGGACAGAAGAAGAACAAAAGAGGGAGAAGGCATGGATGGATTACAATTTCTGTCAGTGGAAGGAGGATCCACATGGGTGTGACCACAAATGAATGAAAATACATTTGTCTCATTGCTACTGATAACCTTTCTGGGTTGGGGGGAGAAGGAAGGGATAAATCTTAAAATCAGAGTTTTATAAATGGACGAGCTAGATGGATACCACAATTGGAACAGGTGCTTTTATTGTGGTAGTATCACATAAGGAACTATCTGCAAAGCAATTTACCAATGAATTTTTGCAACAGCTAGGTAGTTCAGTGGATAGAGCTCCAGGCCTGGAGTCAGGAAGAGCTGAGCTCAAATCTGGCCTCAGACACTTGCTAGCTGTGTGACCCTAAGCAAGTCACTTAATCCTGTCTGCCTCAGTTTCCTCATCTGTAAAATGAGCTGGAGAAGGAAATGGCAAACCATTCCAGTATCTTTGCCAAGAAAACCCCAAATGGGTCATGAAAAGT